AGGGAAAGAGGAACGGGTAAAGGGTCATGAAAATTGACTACAATGTATGTTGAGAAGTTAAAATAAAAAATAAAAAAAATTTTTAAAATAAAATTTCCCATAATTAATTATCTATCTATCTATCTATCTATCTATCTATCTATCTATTTATTTATTTATTTATTTATGTGTGTGTGTTTACTAGGAAAAACTCTGGAAGGGTATAAAGCAAAATGTTAACAACGGGTCTCTCTAGGTGTGATAATGAGATAAAATTAGATGTTATACTGGAAATAAAATGTAAAACTAGGAAATCAAGAGAGTTTGTGAATGAATTGGTGAGTAGTTCCATTTATTTTGCACATTCTGCCATCTTTGCCACCTCCCCAGGTAGAGGTTCGATATGACCTGCCAATTAGAGGCAGGAATGATGATAGTTGCTGGCATTAATTGAGACAGACTATTTGACCATGCACAAATGTTTCAACCTCACTGCTTTTGTAAATAGTTCCCAGAAAGGGTATTTCTGTACAGCCCTTCTTGGCTTCAGCTTTTAGTTGAACAGCTCAGCCACTTGTGGTGTGATCCTACGAGGTGCTGAAATTTAAAGAGAGCATGGAGGAGGACTATAATTTACCTAAAAGTGTCAACGCAGGTGATTCTAAAGCCATTCTGCCAGGTTTTATATGGATAAGCCGGGGCACCTCTAACTGATGAAATTCCTTCCTCCCTCCCTTCTTTCTTTCCTCTCCTCAGTCTTTCCTTTCCTCTCCAATTTATTTGGTCTTCAAATTCCTTTCTGGCCATTACTAAATTAATTAATTATGTGGAGACTGGTAGGAAGCTAAGAGTCATCCTTATCTTCCCAGTGAAGAAGATGGAGAAAAGCAGAGAGTTGCTCTCAGATCCCTGGGCAGTTGGTTGGAATCCAGCCCTACCTCCTTTCACCCAGTTTTTGTTAGAAATCGCCATCACTGTCATTTTAGGCAGTTTGTTCCTACCGAATGGTTACCACAAACTACTCCACCTCCTTCATCCCCCGATCTAAATGACGTATTGGGCCCTTAACCACAGGCAGCCACTATCAAAGAACCAAAGCTCTGTAACAGGCAGGAATTTTTTCAAATAGCCACAGATTGTCAACTCTGAATGTTTTCTTAGAAGCTTCACATTTACAAAGGATAAATGTAACAAACTGATTGTCCAAGGGCATCCAAGGAAAGGCTTAAGTATTTATCAGATTTGTACCCTATGGTTAAATGATCTCCTCTTTTAAAAGTGATACTAAATTCTATGTGACCAACGGTCAGGCTGAGGGAAGAAGGGATCCTTAGCTGGGTCAAAGGTAGAGAGGCAATGCCCAGGGCCACACTGGAGACGCATTTTAAAGGGTCACTAACCTCTCTGTTCAGTTCTCTTACTCTCTTGGAGAGCTCTTTATAGCCATGGATTCATCCATTACTTACAAGCGGAAGAAGATCCTCAGGACAACATTTCCTGAATCAACTTTTCTCTGTACCTCCTTCTCATATCTCCAACTACTTGGTGTAAATTTCCTCCTTGATATTCTGTGTACCTTTGATACCTCAAGTAGAATTCTTCATCCCCCTTGACAAATCTGCACCCCATTCTGACTAGCCTACATGTCCTTGGCACCAATGTCCTCCAAAACACTTTCTCTCATAAGTTCATGGTCATCATTGATCCCTTCCTTTCTCTTACCCTCTATAGAAGCTTTATTGGTTCTTCCTTCACAGACTCTCTCCTTCACTTCTTTTGTGCCCTCCCTTATTTAGACCCAGATCACTTCTTGCCTGTACTATTGAGACAAGATAACTTTGTCCACTGGTTTCTCTGCCTGTAGCTCTTCCCCTTTCAATCTAATTCACAGCCCACAGGAACAGCCCAAGAACAACTGAGAATGATAAAGTCCAGCTTGTTAGGCAAATAGTGGGGCCAAAACAATGAGCTCTAAAAAACTTAAACCAAAGTTTTTACTGGAGTTTCTCTCCCATGTGTCACATGAAGGTAGAATTAGACTATTTCTGGGTCCGAGAAAATAGGATGTTACCCACTGAGGGAACAGTAACAGGGAGCATATTTCAGAAGCGCGTCAGAAGAGCCTTTCATCAGTTAGAGCCATAGTACAATGGAACTGTCCTAGTAGTATATGACAAGTGACTTCCTCATCCGTGGATATGTTCAAGCAGAACCAGAAAATCACTTCTCAGGGATGTTGTAGCAAGATTACATGCTTTAGGTCAGCTAACTATTAAAGTCTTTTCAAACCTTACGACGAACGAATGTTTTTGGCCTTCTATATCCCTCCCTCTGCCTTCCACCTTCTGGGAATCCAGAGTTCATTCTTGCTGCTTTGTGCTGCCCTCATTCCGAATCCTACAGTGGATGAGCATGCTCTCCTCCAGAGAGATCCTCCCTCTGCCTACTCGCACCCCATGGCCTTTCAGTCTGAGTTTCTGCTACCTTGGGCCTTTAAGTAACCTGGACAGGGCAGATTTGGTTACTGAATACCTTTTATGTGCCAGCTTCTGTGCCCAGCATTCTTTCTTATTTGGCTAGTACAACACTATAGATTTGTGTTTTTAAAATCCATCTTAAAGAAGGGGAAATCCAATATCATATTGGTAAGTGGCAAAACTAGTATTGAACAAAGGTTTCCTAACTCCAAGTTCTGTGTACTGGAGAAAAGGGAGAAAAGGAAGGAGGGGAAGAGTGAAGGGACCCTTGACTCTGGGCCACAGATTGTATATTCAAGAAAGGATGTTCACAGGGAATCCTACGTATTGAAAAATAGTGTCTGGAATTTTTATATTAATAACAAACTATATGTGTTGCCAGCAAAAAATTATAGGGGGCCACAGATTGTATATTCAAGAAAGGATGTTCACAGGGAATCCTACGTATTGAAAAATAGCGTCTGGAATTTTTATATTAATAACAAACTATATGTGTTGCCAGCAAAAAATTATAGGTACTTATGTTTAATATAGTTACTGAACTAACAAACAAAAAGAAAAAACTATAATATATATGATTAAATAACAATAGAATAATTACAGTGCATTTTTTGTCATATGTCTAATGACCATATAATATAGTAACAAGTATTTATGTCCTGAAATGTGTGTTAGATTAACATTGCATAAATTATTTTTAACTTTAACACTACTCTGTCCCAATATGTCTAGCATGTAGTATGCCATCTATCTCAACTTTTTAAAAAATCACAGATGTTAATAGTGAAGTACTAATAGGAAGAGGTTGTAAGAGGTCTTAAGGTAATATACATGGATATGCCCCACAGTGTGTGTTGCATATAATAAACATTTACTGTATCTGAGTCTAGCCTCTATACCAGGGATGAGGTGAAATGTTCGTGTCATTGTTTTGTTTTATTCCCTTATAAAAGTAACCATCAAAATTTTCAAAAACATGAACCCTCTCACACAGCAATTCCACTTTTTTAGGATTCTATACTCACACAATTAATCAGCCCCCTATTGTTTATAACCTCATCTTTTAAAGCTGAAAATTAGAGAAATTAGAAAACAACTAAAAATCATTGAGTGCCTACTGTGTGTCAAACTCTTTAGGTTTCTTATCTCATTAATCCTCAATTAATCCTGAGGAGTAGATATATTATCCCTCTTAAGATTTTTTTAAAAAGAGAAAAAAAGGAGAGACCAAATAACTTGCCCAAGATCATATAAGTAGAAAATATCAGATCTAGAATCTGAACTCAGATGTCTCTGGCTAAAACCCATATTCTTTCCAACATACCAATGATTTAAACATTGAATTCTGTGGAAATGTGCTGAGATGGTAAGGGAAGCCAAAGGAAAGGCTGAATGGGTGGAACTCATCTCCCACCCTCACTTCAATCAGAGCACCTGCTTTATAAATAAATAAAATTTTAAAAACCTTAAAAATTAACCACTCTAATATATCACATATTGGTATAGGGATTTAACATTAAAAATAAGTTTCACATAGCTCTATAAAATGCACTGATGAATGTGTATCTTCTTGAGAATGAAATAATCTATCATTAGCTATCAACCAAAGAGAGTTTATTAGATTGGAAAAGGCATCCAGGAATATAAGCATTAAGAAACTGATTCAATTCAGAATTCTGCAAAGATAAGGATAAGGAGAGTTGTGAGGGAATGAAGGTCACCTAACCCCAGGCTGGTCTCAGCTTAGTCTTCAGAATAAGGGGCTCACAAAGGAGGTCCCCACAAAGCCAGATGGGCCTGTCTTAGTCAAATGTTTACAGCAGAGAGTCAGCATAACGTGATGTTTCACTTAAACCACTTAGCAAAAACCAGACTAAAACAAAAACCAATGAATACCAACTTGTTACTTTAGGGGAGGGCTCTTGGACTTCAATTTATTTGATTTATTTGTTTGTTCATTAATTTTGGAGGTAGTATGAAACTATAAAATATTTTGGTAGTAGGTTGACTACAATATATTTTGTCCAGAGAATTAAGCTAGAGACTGGAAACATTTGAGACCCACTCACTGCATTAATTCAGATTTTTGCTTTTGTGTTTATCTTATTTAAAGGTGTGGAAACCTGTCAAAGGTATTCTAGTATTCTTTCAAAATTCTCACATACCTTTATTACTTTAAGGTGGGGCGTAAGGGATGGGCATGAGATGGGTGTTACTTTCCCAAGGGAATGAAAAAGTAATCTTTTCCTCAGTACCCAATTTGTATTATGGAATTCCTGTCAGTTCCCATAGAGCAAGCAATGGGGTTTCACCTGACAAACGCTGAAAAAAATCAAAGTATTAGCCCACAAATGGAGGTGGAAATAGAGAAGATAAAAAGTATATTTTCTTGAAAAGTACACAGGTACAAAACCTTTCAGGATATGAGAGCCCAAGTGGAACCCTGTGCTGTTTCCTCAGGCAATATAGACCTCTGGCTAGAAAAGTGTATTTGCAGTCCCTTGCTCAAGATTTTATCTGATTCTTATTTTATTTTTATTCCAGTTGCTACATTGATGGCCGGGTGGTCAAGGTGATGGACTTCCTGAAAACTCGCCTGTTAGACACACTCTCTGACCAGATTAGGAAAATTCAGAAAGTGAGTAAAAGTATCCTGGGAAGAAGAGGATTAGTTTGGGGGTAAGGCAAGGAAAAGGTCCCAGGGTCCTGACTGGACTTCAGCACTGTGGGAGCCAGGGTAGAAAAATAGAGAAATAGTACAGTCCAGATGGGCATGGTCAAGGGCTCCCTCTCAACAATTGATGATTGTTGTTCATTGTTTTTCAAATTAAGAAAGGTTTTTGTGTGCCATATCAAGGTTTAAAAATTTCTCTATTTTAATAACAAATATTTTTTATAGTTTGCTTGTAAATTGTGATTTTTATAACGGAGAATAGGTTTACTTTGTTATTTTCTTTTTTGCAGGAATTTTTTTGAGTTAGTTTAAAGGAAAGAATGATTACATTAATTTCGTAGAATTCTGGTCTGGAGCATTAGAAATTCTGCACCATATTTATACTTTTCCTAGTGTCTGGAATCAGCCAACTAAGATCCTACTTTTGTAAGGATGAGAGGGAAACTAAGTCATATTAAGCAATTGCATATACATCCTGTCAGCAAAACACTTTTGGTCAATGGTTCTCAGACTCAAGTACAAACAGAATAACCAGTGGTGCTTGGTAAAGTTTCTAGTCTCTGATGTTCTGATTTAGTATGGCTGGAGGAGATCCAAGAGATCTCTATTTTTAATTATCATCTGTCAAGTGATTCTATGTAATGCAGATGATCCTAAGATCACATTTTGAGATACACTGTATTAGTTAATTGAGAATTGTAAGGATCTTACGTCTACAATTTCTTGAGCCTCTGCAACATACAATATCATGCCTTTTGTTGCACAGTCAGGTTCTTTTCCAGGGAATGGGGACCTTTTGAATACTCAGGTATATCTTGAGCACATGAAACAAATCTTTGCAGAAAAATTGCAACAGGTAGGCACTCAATAAATATGGGATGTGTATTAGTTTGTTTTCTGTCACTTTAACTAAATACCTGGGTAATTTATAAGAAAATAAAATTTATTTCTCACAGTTTTGGAGGCTGGGAAGTCCAAGGTCCAGGGTCACATCTGATCAGAGCTGACTTCTTGGTGGGAACTCTCTACAGGGTCCTGTAGCAATGCAGGCAATCTCATGGTGAGAATGGAAAGAGCAAGAGCTAACATGCTTACTTGCTCTCCTTATATATCCACCAGAGCCACTCCCTGGTAACCCATTAGACCATTGACCCATTAATTCATGAATGGATTAATCCATCCATCAAGGCATGGTCCCCATGATCCAATCACCTCTTGAAGGCCCCACCTTTTACCATTGCCAAATTGGGAATCAAGCTCCCACATGAGCTTTGGAGGGGACAAACATTCAGACAATAGCATGAATGAATAAATGAGTGAACAAATGAATTAATACCTTATGTATAAAATTAGCTCTGAAAGAAAATCCTATTTGAAGCAATCACAGAAAAGCAATTTGGGAGCTAAAGTGGAAGTGTACACATTTTTTGGTATTCATAACAATATCATACACAGATTACAAACAGCCTCTTGAAATCCTCTTGTCAAAGGATTTTAGAGGCTGAGAAGCCTCTGGTCTTCTGGACTCCTGCCTCCCAGTCAGATCCCTCCAGGGATCAGATGCATTGGCAAGCACACTTATCTGTCACTGCCTTCCACTAGACAAAACCTAAGAAAACTAAATGATTTGAAATATTTCTACCAGTCTCTGTCTGACATTCATTTAGTGAAAAATATTTGCTGAGCACTTAGCAAGTACCAGGCAAAGTGCCAGATGCAGGGGATACAAAAATGGAATAAAACATGGTCCCTTCCCTCAAGGAACTCACAGTTTTAAGTTTTAATATTTACCTTGAGTAGGTTGAAAACATATTACCTAATGCAACATGATGTCCACCTATTGAACACTACAGTTTTCTAAGCACACTATGCTAATCTGATATTAGGAACTGCTCTCTAGAAGGAGGGGGAAATTTTATTTTTAAGTTTTAATATTTACCTTGAGTAGGTTGAAAACATATTACCTAATGCAACATGATGTCAACCTATTGAACACTACAGTTTTCTAAGCACACTATGCTAATCTGATATTAGGAACTGCTCTCTAGAAGGAGGGGGAAATTTTATCTTATTTATTCACTTGTTGATTCTTTTACTTGGTAAATATTTACTAAGTGTTTGTTGTATTCCAGGCATTGCTCTAAGTATTTCTGTTACAACATTGTACAAGATAGTCAAGTTCCTATATTTTTGGCTTTTTCAGTTTTGAGTCTGATCAAATGTCGTTGGAAGTAAAATGGTTCTGTGATGTCATGGCACTGATGTGGAGGTTCTAACTGTTCTCATGATATTACTTAAGTACAGCAGGTGGCTGTAGGTCAGAACTGAGACAAAAGTGTTGGGAGTTAGATTCTTCCCTTTCTCCCCATGTTCCATGGCCCTCCACCACTGCATACTTCTTAACCATCTTAACCAGAATGTTCACAAACTGAAATAAGTAGCTAAGCTTACATCCTAATTTATCCAGATCCCAAAAAATTTAAGGAAAAGGACCAAAATTGAGATGCAGACCTTTAAAAACATGTCTTATAGACTTGGAGGGGGAGGGTCAACTGCCATTGCAGGTCATAAGAGAAATGACCTGGGCCAGCCCGGTGGCGCACTGCTACAGTGTGCCGCTTGGGAGCGCGGCGGCGCTCCCGTCGAGGGTTCGGATCCCACATACAGACCGGTTCCCGCTCACTGGCTGAGCAAGGTGCGGGCGCAGCACCGAGGGTTGCGATCCCGTTGCCAGTCCCGGTCCGGTACGGGCGCGACACTGAGGGTTGCGATCTGTTGCCGGACACGAAAAAAGACAAAAAAAAAAAAAAGAGAGAGAGAAATGACCTATATGCAGAAGACACCTGTTAGGGGAGGGCTGGATTTAGCATCAGGGCCTGGAGTCACCTTTTGGCTATTGCAAACAAAACATGCCCAGGGGTCCCCTTAAGCCAAGGTTCCTATTTTGGCTATCTCTTGCTTTGCAACAAATTACCCCAAAACTTAGTGGCATAAAACAACCATTTATTATGCTGATGGTTTGTATGGGTCAGAAATGCCCACAAAGCACAGCTGGGGTGGTTTGTCTCTGTTTCCCAATATCTGAAGCCTCTGCTGGAAGACTCAAAGGCTGGGGTGACTCAAACATGCTGGAATCATCAAAAAGCTTGTTCACTTCCTTGTCTGGCAGATGATGCCAGCTGTTGGCTGGCATCTTGGTTGGGGATGATCACTGGAAAACCTACACATGAACTTCCTATGTAGCCTGGGCTTCCTCCCAAGGATCTAAAGTTAGATGTCCAAGGAAGAGAGCCAGGTGGAAGCTGTATCACCTTTTCTAATCTACCCTCAGAAGTCACAGGACATCATTTCTGCCATATTCTATTCACCGAAGCAGTCATCAAGACCCACGAAGTTTTGAGGAAAGAAGAAATAAACTTTTCCTCTTGATGGGGGAGTGGCAAGATTCTGGAAGAGCGTATAGGACCAGAAGTATTTTTGCAGTCATTTTTGAAAAATACTAACTTCCACAGTCCTATCTTCCCTGTTTCGTTTAGTAGGCCTTGAGTCATATTTCCCTGACTAGTTTTCTTTTCCCAATTCTCTTTTACAAAGCTCACGCTAGATATTGCCTTAAATGGTATCTGCTGGAGGTGTTGCTGGATCACAGATTCTCTGAGATTTTATTCACAGGATAGTCTTTCCTTTGGCTGCAGCAGCCTGGACCCAGTTGTCAGTAGCTCCATGAAGAGAGTCTCTCCCACCACAGCCCAGGATTTACTAAACAATGGCCTGCCCAGGGAAAAGGAGAACTGGGAGATCAGAACAGAGTACCCAAGCTTTGATTGTTGAAAAGTTGCTTTGGCTGTTCCTGAAGTTCCTGGTGGATGGGGGCCTGGAAAATTTGGGTCCGAAGTGCGAACTGGGACAGACTGGCCAAATGTCTTCCCTGCATGCACCTAGAACCAGTTCAGAGATGTGCCACATAAGGTTTTAATGTCTCATATACCTAGAACTTTTACCCAAAAGCTAGAAGTGGAATGTTTGTTTTTTCTCTATTAGTAGAAGTTAAGAGAAGTCCTAAAGCCCCCCTCTTAGGCCCACAGTGGTGGACAAAGGGCAGATTTCCCAACAAAATGGAACCATGTGGGAGTGGTTTGATAAATCAGTGGTGAGGCTATTTGAATAGGAGGTAGAGCACAGAATTTGAAGTCTGATGGCCTGGTTTGGAGCTCAGGCTTCACTGTGTGACCTTGAGCCGGTCACTGGATTTCTCTAATTTTGTTTCTTCATCTGTAAATAAGAGAATAAGAATACTATTTTTCATCCCTCTTAAGATGAAGAATGTCATGTGGGGTCCTGTTTTGTTAATTGCTATTGAATGCTAGTTTTTATTGCTATTATTCTTGTTGTTAACAGTTATCATAGTTATTTTTAACAATAATTTCTATGACTAGGGAAGATTTATGCTACCTTCATTCCCAACATGTTCTTTGCTTTTTTTTCTTCTTTCCTCTTTTTCAAACCCTGGGGAATATGATAGGTGATATTTTTGGCACCTGAAAGGCAATGACTCAATTGCTAAAAACAGCTGTGGTTTCCAAATTTGGACTGCCACTTAGAAAAGAATTCTCAGTTTTCTGAGCAGTGGGTGAATTATCTGGTTGTACAAAAATCTACATGATATATTTGAAAGCCAAACAGAGATATGTTTTGACAATATTTGGACAACCCACTCCTTTGGATGATCACAAGCCCTCTCTTTTCCATTAGAATGAAGATAATCATCTGTACATTGGGAGATGAGTCAAAGGAAAGAGTTGAAAATCTAACAATGCAGGAAAGACTCAGATGGGAAAGCGAGAGATGTTTAGGACACAGTGCAGATGGTATAGTGTGGATAGCTGGGCTGACTCCAAAACAATTACATAAGAACCAAGAAGAACCACTTTGGCCAAAGTAATTTGGACTCTATGATTTGTGTC